ATCTTTCCAGGTACCGAGAACGGTCCCAACTCCCAAACTGTTATTCAATATTAAGTTAACATTTCCTATAATACCTCAGACTCATTTCCTCCAAATTCCTTGAGGTGGAGCTGTGAGTCCAGGACGCGACTTGACACGTGTGTATTTGTTTATGGAGCACGTGTGCTTCCAACGTAGATATGCTTCCACACACTCACTCTCTTCTCCAACTCTTCTACACTCTCATTTGATTAGTCTGGCGCAGCGCCAGACTACATTTGACCATGCTACCCCGACCCGAGCTTCATGACCTGGCAGTGGAGAATTCTCAGATTCTTTTGCTGTAGATTTTGTGTTGCGTAAGTTTGTGTGTATATATACATATAATATATAGTAAGGGATTAGTAACTTAAGCTGGCTGGGTGAAGTTGTGATGTAGGTGGCTGTCAGGAAGTTATGATGACAAATTAGGTGGGTAAATTAGTTACCATGCCTGTTTGAAATTGACTAATCAATTTGCATATATATAATCACTTATTGACCTCGCGGACAGCCCGGGAGGTAAGTAACTAAGTGGTCAAACAGGTTTTGTTAGTTATGTACCTTGCGGACGGTCTGGGATCAAACAGAGTTTCTTATTATTTACCTTGAAGCAGAGCTACTTTGTCTTGAGTAATAATTGTTTTTACCAGAGAAAGTAGCAAAGAACATAGAAAGGAAAGAAATACCGTATATCGGAAAATTTTCATGGCCCAAAAATACTGCGGATCCGTTCAAAAATCAATTTTGTGGCTTTAATTTTTGTGGTTTTATACTTTTTGGCCATCTTGAACTGTATTCAATCAATTTTCATGGATTTTATTTTTGTGGATTTTGAAAAAAAACCCGAAATCCACGAAAAATTTTCCGCTATACGGTAGGGTCTCAAAAGCATTGGGCCATGTGATAAACTTCTTAATGGGTCGAGTGGAATTGGAAAGGCGTGTTCTGGGTGTGTTTTACTGTACACACATGGCATGAGTGAAGAAGACAACTTTCCCATTTTCCTCAAGAAGATACACAGAAGTAAAGAGAGACCTTTTGCTTTTATATAATCTTGCTAATCATGGGTGGTCAGATTTGGCATTATAGAAGTCTGTTATACACCTTCACCTTGGTCTTATTACTATGGGTTTATTTACCTTAGGACCGTGTCCCTGTGTAAATAAATTCCATAAAAACCTTAACCTTAGTGTATTACCTAATACCTATACATAATTAGAGCAAAGATGATAGATGATGGGATTACATTGGAGTTTTAGTTAAGTTGCACCTCTTATGTAGTACCATCTTTATGTGATACAATGAGGCAAATGAAACCAAATACATCTAGATTGTACAGAACCGTCAATTCTTGTCTACAAGAAATTTCTCGTTTTCCTTGCATTTGTCAATTCAATTTTTGTCATTACTCTGTTCTGCATAGAAACATAGAGGCATGTACATGTAGATAGTTATTTTTTGTCGATTGCCAAAAATTTAGACTGACAAAAATAAAGTGCTATACCATATAGCTCAAAGCTTAAACTTTCACTATTACAAATGAGTAAAATGAGATATTTGTTTGATTAAGATATTAATTTTGTTTGATTAATATATTAATTTTGTTTGATTATAATTTTTGTGATTTGTAGGCCCATTGCATTGGTGGTGTGGCTAGTGCTTCCTAATACTCAAAGATGGTGTCAGCTCTGAATCTGAGAGTGGTCCTGCTGCATCAGGTAAATCAGAAGCATGATAAGTATTTTTTGGACTGAACCCTAAAGTGCTTATACACTGCCATTTTAAGATATCCATACTACTTATAAAAGCTTATTATGATTATAAATTTGTGTTGCAGGCCTAAATTGTAAAATTTGCCATTTTAAACTTCTTAAGTTTTGAGCTACATGTACATGTGTATGGTAATAAACTTTAGTGACCAACAATGACGTTTATTGCTGATATGAAGGCATCTACAGTCAAACCGGCTATTGTAGACACTCTAAAAAGGGCACTTCTATAATCAGAGCAGCTAGTATCATTCCCAATACAATATAAACGTTTGCTAATGAAATAATGACTCTGCCATAATCATGACAGTATTATTGTGCCCGCAATAGACAGGTTTTACTGTATCAGGTTCAACCATCAGCCTATTTGTCAAATTAAATATGGGGCTTATTTATGACTGCTTGAACAGTAAAATTTCATTATCAGCACTGGTTAAACAATTATTGTTTTTAATGTAACTATCAAAGTATTCTTCATTTTGAGAGAAAAATAAGAAAAGTACATATTTCATTATTTTGTATTACAAACTTGCCACAAGAAGTAATGGTAATATACGTGTACATGATGTATAATACTATTTGTAGTAATAATGTAATGCAATAGAAATGTGAAATGTCAAGTGAAAGACATAGGTTAATTGCTATTGACTGATTTACAGTGTATGTATGTATATGTACATGTTGATTATTATTGTACATGCATTATAGGTTCACACAACTTGTTGGATGGAATGGCTAATTCTGTCAGAAAAGATGGTGTTCTCTCTTTTCTCTCATTGGGTAATTGCAGAATAAGGAACAAGTATAACAAGAAAAGGAAGTTGGATGTAAAGTATCAAGTAAAGATGAACAGGTATGCACTATGAATGCATGCGGCTCTTCAGGCAGTTTAAAATTGTGTAAAAAGATTGAGTAAGATTAATAATGCTTATTCTATTTTTTGTTGTAATGGGTAGTTGGGTACCTGTTAATTTCCTTTATTGTGACAATAATTACCCTTGATTGTTATACAGTACTTTCACCGTGGCATAAGCTTGTGTCATAAGTATAGGATGTGCTTGTAAATCTGATATTGCATGAGTAGTTGTGTCATCATGAACTTATTCCCATTTAAAGTTTCACACTACTCAGTCCATGCATTGCTCTTGCAGTTTTACACCTGGCACAGTGGCACTCCTAAGCATTGCTGGCACTGAACCTATTTTGGTATGAAGTACATGTACCCTTAAAGAAGTGAAGTAGCTTATTTTTGAGCTTGTGCTTCTTGTTCATGGATTCTCAGACTAGGGAAACAAGCTGTGGCTCCTTTTTGAGGCATGGATTTTATTACTGGTGTAGGAAACCACAACATTATTACCCACGGAAGGATTGTATAGCACTTTTTGTGGCATCCTATTGCCTATTTTTGTACACAGACAAGTCTTCTAAAGCCTGAATGGAGTGTTATCAAGGTGTGAAAACCGTAGTACATCAATTTTGT